GGGGGGGGGGGAAGAAACAACTCACCGCGTGCCCGCCGGAACACGCACGATGCCATCCGCTTTCGTCAGGACGTGCTCGGTTTCGTTCTTGTAGATGCCCAGCACCCCTTGTTGGACTTGGAAGTATTCGGTTTGGCGGAGGTGGATGTGTCTGAGAGTATCAACAAACAGATTCAATTGCATGAAGGGAGAAGGGGGGGGCCTCACAGCTGCGGCCCCGAGAGCCCCTTCCTGGCGATCGGGTTGTCAATGTAATGCGTCTCCTGCACCACCCAGCGATTACCCTCTTGCAAGAACTCGAACCGCGCGGCGTCGTTCGCCGCCAGGATGGCGGGTTCATGGGAGGTATCCGTCCGGAGGAGCGGCCGCGGCGAGAGCCAGAGTTGCCAGCTTCGAACCATAATCCTTGCCTGTGCTGAGTCCGCCTGAGAACTGACTGCTGGTGCTGCTGAGGTATACAATCGTGACTGCCTCGGGGCGATTCTTCTTATCTCCTGTCCCTCCCAGGCGCATTATGCGGAGATGGTGGAGATAATCTGAGGTGGGGGGGGTAAAAGAGAGCTGCAACAATCGCACCACCCAGGTAACGTGCGTGCCGTAGATTGCCAGACGGAGTACTCCGTAGAAGCTGCAGACAGCTGTGATGCCTCGTTTCTGGCATCATGATCATTCGTTGTCTCGTCTCGCCGGGATGCAGTCCCGATGAAGATGGTTTCCCGAGTCTGCGTGCGGGGTGAGGTGGGGTGGGGCTTGTCGTTATCGATCAGTTTACAACAAAAGTCGGGATAATACTCAGCTTATGAAAACGAGAACCAAGTAAATTGGGGGCGGGGTCTGTGCTGAGACGTGCCAAAACTAAAATCTGACCGCAAAAAGTTGCTGGTTGCCATTGACAGATGCTTATCTGCAGTGGCGTTGCGGGCTACTCCACACCGGCATTGCGTCCTGTGGATCCCACACCATGAATGGATGGAGGGGTGAACTGGTGAAGAATCCAATCTCCACTCTGCATTCGACATACTTCGGATCGGGTTTTGGCTCGTGGTCTGAGCTCCAGCCGTATTATGCCCGTGTCTTACAGAACGTGCAGAGTTGTGCAGCTCGTGTCGCTCCTGACTAGTGCGACAGCTGCAGGATGGCCGACTCGCGATTATGCAGGTGAGACTGCAGTATCGAACACGAGGGCACACGCGGAATGTTTAGCACTAACTTATATTGCTAGGCAGATAGACTAGATGGTCCCCAACCGGGCAATGAGGCATTTCCCCAAACGGCACAACACTCATGCTACCTAGTATCCAGGATGTTTCCCAACACTTTGACGCACCCCCAATCAAGATGTCAGGTCGTATCAGATAGTTTCCACCTCATCCTTCCAGATCAACCCCTCGGGGACAGCCTTCCACTGACCCGCCTCGTCCAACATGGGCCGGACCTTCTCCCACTCTTCCCGGACGCGTTGGGCCTTCTCCCCACTCCGCGGGACGATATTCACTGGAAAGGGCTTAGGCATCGTCATGAAGCCGTCCACCAGCTCAGCCTGGTCGGGAACCACCTCCCGCGTGGTGACTGGGTCGACGACCCTCTTGAAGTCGAACGCCCACAGCAGCCGCGAGATGGCGAGGTACATCGACCGGTCCGCGATGTGCATGCCTTGGCAGCGGCGGCGGCCGGCCCCGAAGACGAAGTGATCGCGTTGGAGCACGTTGGCGTTGGTGGCCGCCTCTGCGGAGGTCTGGTGGTCGTCGATATAGCGCATTGGGTCGAACTGGCGAGGATTGGGATACCGGTCGGGGTCGGAGTGTAGCGCCCTGTTATTCCCCCCAGGCCAAGCATTTAGCTCCTCTCGGTGCTCCCCAATTTCACGAGACAAGGCGGGACAGTAGAACCTACCACACGTTCACAATGACCGTCGCCCCCTTGGGGATCCGATACCCGAGATACGCATCCTCCTGGGTCGTGGCGTGCGGAATCCCCAGCAGAAAGCCGGGCATCCAGCGGAGGGTCTCCTTCGCGCAGGCGCGGATGTAGGGCAAATCCGGCACGTCGTTGAGATCGGGCAGTCGGTCGCCGCAGACCCGGTCCAGCTCCGCCTGCGCCGCCCGCGCCACTTCCGGGAAGATCACCATCGCCTGCACAAAGCCCACCAGGATGCTGGCCGTCGTTTCGGACCCCGCCTGCAGCAGCGCCCCGCTGATGTAGGCGGCCAGGTCGTCGGAGAAGTTCTCGGTCTGTTGCATGCGGACCAGGTCGACGCAGACACAGGGCTAGAGGGTCCATCTGTAAGAGTGGGAAGGAGTGCATAGGCTGGGAGGGAAGGCATACCTTGGCCGTGCCATCCTGGAGTTTTCGTTTGGCGTCCAGATAGAAATCTCGGAACAACTGGCACTCCTGGCGGTGCAACTCTCTCGCTTCCTGGACTAGCGGCAGCATGAACTCCGGTAGGGATCGGAGGATGGGGAACAGATCTAGCAAGCTCGCGGTCTGGATGGAAAAGGTGGGAGGATTAGCTTAGCGATCGACTGGACAGTTGCGAGCATATGCAGGCCATACCTTGGACGTGGTGATCTCGGAATTCCGATCGAAGATCTACACCGGCCGAGTTAGCCTGCCTGTCCGCGGTTGTAAATTTTGAGGGACCAAAATACATCAAAGGTTTGCTTGAACTTCGGATCCTCAATCGTGGTGGTCCGAAACCCAAAGGCCATCTGCGTCGTCAACGAGCCGGAATAGCGGCGGATGTGATTGATGAAATGCGCCGGCGCCTCCAGCATGCTCTGCAGCATGGCCCGGTTTTCCAGGTCCTGATACGGGACATAGGTGCGCGCTGCGGCAACGTTGAGGATGCGATGCGCGAGCTGTCGAACGGTCTTCCACGTCGCGCCATCGTCCTGTGCCATGACAGATCGATGAGCACAATGCCCAACAGGTGAAAGAGGCGGGGAGCACACACCATGAACAGTACTCTCAATCCACCGCTCAGCACGTCTTGAGCCATGTAGCTCTCTGGCCGGGAGGAGTAGATTGCCCCGCGGCGGTCGAGGAGATCCTTGACTGCTTGGGCGGAGTTGAGCACAATCACGGGACGCGTCCCGAGCACGAGCGAGTAGATAGCACCGTATTCGCGACTCCATTTCTCGAACTGGAGGTGAATTTTCTGGGAGGGGATCTGGTGCAGGTTGCCCAAGATCGGGAGCGTAGGCGGGCCTGGGGGCAAATCTTTAGGTCGTCGGCCGATTTTTCGCAGTTTCCAGACCCCGCTGAGGAACACCGCAAAGACAAGAGTGTAAAGTGTCTTGCTGAGATCGAAATACGTATTCACGCTCATGGTGAAGTAGCCTGGTGGTGTGTGATGGTTAGTTACGCCTGTTTGAACAACAGCACCAGATATGTTCGAATATGTTGTGCAATATATTGGGTGTACTTGTGCTGAGTGGGGTTCTTGGAATGAGACCTATGAGCGGAAAATTACGGGTGGAAAGCGAGAAGAACACGAGGAAGAAAGATAAGACAGACTGTGATGCAAGTCCTCAGGAAATGGCCTAGTCTAGAAGAATCCAAAAGAAAAGTCACGGCATGGGTGGTGAGATTCTGAGTACAAGCCCGAAGCCCCGCTCAGGCCTAGTTAGGGTTGCATGAAGCCTCAAGAAACGCCACGGGGTGAATTCCGGGATCCCCCTCTGTCGAGTTCCCATGGTAAGACACTTCAAAAGGCCGTTCCTACCATACTCCAGACCACATTGATCCCAGCTCTGGTCCCTATTCTTCGTGATAAACTCTCAGAAACATTGCTTCCCTCAGGACCTACCACCATGTCACGAACCCAGAAGTTCGCACTTGTCACCGGGTAACCTCTAATCTCTCCATTACTTGTCTCACCCCAGGCTCACCGGTTCACATGTAGATGCGGCCAGGGAGGAATTGGCGAAGCATTGGTGACCGAATATGCTCGCCGCGGCATTCACCCCATTGCTACTGTTCTCCCCAATGAGTCGAGCGAACATCTGTCTGCCAAGGGCATCACCTTCTTTCCCCTCGATGTGACGATCGAGGAGTCAGTGGTCGAGCTCAAAGCCCGCATCCGGGACCTCACGGGCGGATACCTCGACATTCTGGTGAATTGCGCGTACGTGAACCCAGCTGGGCGCCAGCCGGCTGACTGACTGACGGATGACACATGAACAGGGGAATTGCGTATACGATGACGGCCATCGACACCGACGTCGGTGCCGTGCAACGCATGTTCGATGTGAACCTCTTTGGCCCGATGCGGATGGTGCACCACTTTCACGACCTCATTATCCCCGCCAAGGGAACAATCGTCAACATTGGCTCGATTGGTGGCATAGTTCCTTACTTGTATGGAGGTAAGGCGGTTAACTCTCCAGCCCTAGTGTTTTCCATTTGCATTCTCGACCCACTCACCACGAGAGAGAGAGCAGCATCGTATAATGCCACCAAGGCTGGCCTTCATCACTGGTCCAATACCCTGCGGGTCGAAATGGCCCCCTTTGAGTACGTCAGCCCCCTCTCCCCTCCACCGTTCCTTTGGAACCATTCAGTAATTGAGTTTTCGGCTCCAGCGTTCGAGTCATCACAGTACGTTTCTTCTCCCCGCCCCTTTCCAGTTTGTCAACCCCCACTAGGGCATTATATCCATTGAAATCAAACAGGTGATTTCCGGCGAGGTGTATACCAACATCCTGAAAAATGACGCGCATCGACAACTCCCAGAAGGTAATTTCCTGATCTCATATCCTTATGCTTTCGGGGTTGTCTTCAATGGCTGACGGAGGGTGGTTCGGAACAGGCTCCTACTACAGCCCTCTAGCGGAAGAATTCCGGCAACACGTCACCAGAACTCCCTCTGGGGCGACGGATCGATTCCAGTATGCCTCCAAGGTGGTTGGGGAGAGTCTGCGCTCCAGTCCTTCCGCCTGGTTCTGGACGGGGAGTTCGACAGGGCTGATCCGCTGTTTGGATACATTTGCCTGGCGGACGATTTGGGTAAGCCCTAACTCTTCCAACGTTCCTTTGGCCCCCTCCCCCAGCTCAATTAGTGCTGTGCTGATTGTATCCTCTCCCCTCCCCCGCACAGGACTGGATGTTCTGGAGGATGTTCAACCTGGGCAAGCTGCATCGATCTCACGCTGCGCTGGGTAAGAAACAAGTTTAGTTTAGTTTAGCTTAGCTTGATGCAGAGTCGGACTTGACCGGGGCCCGCTGAGGGAGTTGGGGGAGGGGGGGGGGCCGTTAGGATCCAAGTGGACGGCTCGGCTAAGGTGGGGTTGTTGGAGGGGGTCGGAGGGATTTGCCCGCCTAGACTAGACTAGATTATTGACAGTTTGACACATGTGAGATTTGATAACCGCTAGTAACTAACTACAGTAGATAGTATGACTGGCGATAGCCTTTAGTCTATCCGGTAAGCGAGCTTGGCCACTGATCCTCCTGCATCCCTGAAGATGTACTTCGTATAGAGTACTGTAGTATAAGATCAACCAATTTCTGACTGGAACTTCCTGAGCAGGTATAGCGTGGCGGCGTCCCCGCTAGTACAGTACCTTGTAGTTATAGGAGGGGTTATATTCTATACAAATTACTTCGAACATGCGCCCTCTGTAATGCCTCTAACCACCTACACTAATTCATGACCGCATGAAGTATGCATCCTACCAGCAAGGAAACAGCATGAGTCATGTTAGGAACCATTATCAATCATTCACAACTTACGTCAGCAAAACTGGGCAAAAATGCCTAAGCGAGCAGATGAAACTTCTAGTACGGACAGTAAACCATGTAAAATCCTTCTAGTCCATTGTTCAAGTAAAATCTGACATGAACTCATCCAACGATCCAACACCCCCATCTCCAAACCGGAGCACCTCTACTTGCTTCTAACATACTATCCCCATCGCAAACCTAACGACCCTCATAATCCTTCGCCAAAGTTCCCAGATACCCCTCCAACTGCTTCCCGCCCGCAAACACCGGGTTAACATCCAACAAGATAAACAGCATCCGTCCAGGCAGCGTCCCGTTGCCCGTAACGTTGATCCACTTGTGCGCCGTCGCGCGGTTGACGCAGGTATCGCCGGGGCGCATGAGCCGCTCCTCGCCCGAGTCCAGCACCAGCTTGAAGACGCCCTCGATCACGACCCCGTAGTCGAGGCTGACGGCGCGGTGGAGGGGGGACTCCACTCCCGGGGCGAAGTCGATGAGTCGGGCGACGGTGCCATTGTGGACGTGGATTCCTGGCTGTTTGTGGGCGGTTTCGTTAGTGGAGTTCTACTACCTTGCGAGTAAAGATGCCCGGGAAAGGAAAGGGGGGGGAACGCGGCTCGAACCTCATTTGCGCGGGCGTACTTGATATCGACATCATCGTTGAGCTCCACGGGACTCTGGTTAGTCGAGTAGATGATGTTGCCGATGGCTTGCTGCTCGCCCAGGACCCGGTGGTGGTCCCCATTGTCGGTGGCCAGGAAGACGGACTGGCCTTGCGCGTCGTGGCCGGTGATGTGCCGCACGACGCGGCTCAGGCCGGTGACTGGGAACTCCGTGGTCACGTAGCCTACGCCGCCGGGGTAGGTGTTGTCAGAAAAGATGTTCTTATCGGTGGTCATGATGATTGTGGGAAGTTGGGTGGAAGAAAAGAGGGAGTTTGATGGAGGAGTTGCTTGAGTGTGAGTGTGGTTGAGGAGATGTAGATGGGAGGTACAGTACGGATTGTCGGCAACCGCTCGTTGCTTTTATATACCTTTCCCTGTACAAGTCCATGGCGTAAGGGTTATCTCGCAGCTTGCTGCTTCCTCGATACGAGCATCGTCTTCGTCTCCGAGGGTTCACTCGATGCTCCTCTCCGTGCCGGAATCACACGGAAACAAAAACCTACGTCTCTGACCATTTGCCAGTTGTGGAGCAGTCTATCACAATGCATGTACGGAGTAGTCGTGAGGGGGAATATGCCGGATTTCCCACCAACTACTGCAGTGGGGGTACTCGCGAGCCGCTTACCTGTATCTGACATGCAGCTGGAACGGCCTATCTGCAGCTAAACGGCGACCAGGACGTGCATGTTGAAGGATCTACGACGGAGTAGCGGATGAGGCCGCAGCTTTTAGTGCTTACTCTGGATCCAAAGTCCCTGTCTGCAACGTCGCAGCAGAAAGTAATTCACTAACGCGGAGAAAAAGGCCAAGGTATGCACAGTCGGAGGTGTCTGATTGATCAATCCGGATCATGCAGACTCCAATGCCTTAGCGCGAAGCCGTCAAGGTCGTCCCGCCATCCACTATCAGGTCGCTTCCAGTGATGTAGCTCGAACGGGGGCTGCACAGGAAGATCACCGCGTCGGCCACTTCCTCGGGGTGGGCAATGCGTCCCATGGGGACCGCCGCCTTGATGAAATCGGCCAGCCCGTCCACCCCCGCCACAGCCTCCTGGACCATCGGGGTATCCACCCATGATGGACACACGCAATTCACCCGGATGCCATGATCCACATTGTCCAGAGCTAAGAAACGCATGTCAGCGCGGCTCCAGGCCAAAGGGTGAAAACACGCGAAGGTATGCGGGCAATAACCCACCTGCGTTCTTGCTCAATCCCAGGACTGCATGCTTGGATGCCGTGTAGGGCAGGACGCCCGGTGCCGCAACCTTGGAGGAAGCAGAGCCCAGATTGACAATCGCCCCGCGGGTTTCGCCGCGATTGGTCGCCGACGATGAAGAATTCGTGACGGGCTCCTGGCTTCGCATCACGGCCGAGACCTCGCGAGTAACGAGAAACGTGCCGATGGTGTTCACCTCAATGAAGCGCTTGATATCAGCCAACGAGAGGCTGACGATGTCGGTCCCTTGTTGAACGCCAATCTGTCACGGCACGCAATCAATTAACTCAATGTGCAGAAGGAAAGTTTCAACGAAGGGTGGCGACAAACCCCTGCGCAATTGACACAATAGTCGATGCGGCCGAAGGCCTGTACCGCCTTATCAACGGCACGCTTGACCGAATCCTCCTTCGTGATATCGACCTGGATGGCTTCGGCGCGAAACTTGGGGTTGGAAGCCACTGGAACGCACTGAGCGCCCACGGTCTCGGCGGCGGACACATCTAGATCGGCAACAATAACGCCAGCCGCACCTTCTTTGGCAAACAGCAGAGCACAGGCCTTGCCTATCCCACTTCCTATCGCAACGGTCAGCATTGGTTCGGAGGGATTTCATATCAGATAGCTTCTTGTGCGCTTACCCCCGCCAACAACGAGTGCGTAGCCAGTAGTCTCCATGCTGCTAGAATAGGCGTGCAAGTGGGGTCAATACAGGTGGTGTACGGTTGAGGAAAATCTCTCGCCACGGAGGGTGTTGACAGGGTCAATTTATGTCTCCAAGTGGGCTGCTATTTGTCATGATAAGCTTATGGGTGTACTTTTGCTACCCCAACGGGAAGATGCCTGATGTGGTTGCCCCCTTCCCTCCGATACGAGACAAAGTAATTGGTAGTGATCATGCAGAATGCTGATGACCGAGCAAGCGGAATCACTACCCTGGCATGAATGTAGTCTCGTCGGACTGAGAATCCTATTCGCTGACGCGGAATTGGGTCCCATCTACTGCAACGTCGTGAAGTATATAAAGCTGGGACGAAACGAGGAGATGAGGGCTGTAGTGACCGGATACTCTCCTCTCTTCTTTCTTTCTTTCATCATCTTCTTCTGAGACTCGATACCATGTCTGATTCTGAGCCTGTCATGGTGGGATTTCCCACCACCCCCAGTACCATGTCAGATCCTACTCCCGACGGCACTGAAACCCAAGACCGTCGGCCCTGTGATGGGGATGATAGTGCCATGGAGTCTCTCCAGGCCGACCCCCCATGTATCATTGGAATGGGTATGGCGTCTTTCAATCCCACCTGAAAGTTTATAGCACTAACCCTGTGGTCAACAGCGTGCCGCCTTCCAGGAGACATCCGCTCCCCCTCTGATCTGTGGGATTTCCTCGTCGAAGAGAAGTCCGGCCAAGGCCCTGTGCCTGCCGAGCGATATAACATCAAGGGCTATTACCACCCAGATGGACATCGCAGTGGCGGCATGGACGTTCCCGGCGGGTATTTTATCAACGAGGACGTCCGCCAGTTCGAGAACAGCTTCTTCGGTATCAATAACCTAGAGGCGACTTATATGGATCCGCAGCAACGAAAGTTACTGGAGGTAGTATACGAGTGCCTCGAAAGTGCCGGCACCAGCATGAAGAGCATCTCTGGTTCGAATACCGGTGTCTTCGTCGGTAATTTCTCAGTCGACTACCAGCCCATGCAGACCCGGGATCCAGATTACCTGCACCGGTATACGTCCACCGGTTCCGGCGCTACCATTATGTCGAATCGTATCAGTCATGTGTTCAATCTTCACGGACCGAGCTTCACGCTGGATACGGCATGCTCCTCATCGGTCTATGCGCTGCACCAAGCTTTGACGGCGATGAAGATCGGAGACTGCGACAGCTGTATCGTGGCCAGTGCCAACTTGATCATGTCCCCCGAATTGCACATCGGTGCGGCTAAGGGTGGGGTACTGTCCCCCACAGGCACCTGCCACACCTTCGATGCTTCAGCCGATGGCTATGGCCGTGCAGAGGGTGTAAACGCCATTTACATCAAGCGTCTATCGGCTGCGCTCAGAGATGGTAACCCGGTGCGAGCAGTGATCCGGGGGAGTGCAATCAATGCGTAAGTAATCGTACTGTCCACAGAGCCCGACAACACAGGATGGCTGATAAAAAGGTATCCAGCAATGGAAAGACTCCCGGCATCTCATTGCCCAGCCGTGAGCTTCAGGAGACAGTAATGCGGAAGGCATACCAGAACGCGGGTCTAGACTTTGCCAGCACAGACTATGTTGAGTGTCATGGCACCGGTACGCCTGTTGGTGATCCAATTGAGGTTGATGCAGTGGGACGGTGCTTCTCCCCACGTCCGGAAGTTCAACTCCTAATCGGATCCGTAAGACTCCCCAGCGACTGAATCCTGATTGCGTGATATATTGTCTGACTGATTTGAACATAGGTCAAAACCAACGTGGGACACAGCGAAGCTGCAAGTGGCCTTACGTCAGTCCTGAAAGTCGCCATGGCATTCGAGAACGCCAAAATCCCACCGTCGCGAGGCGTGGTCAAGTTGAATCCCAAGCGTGAGCATCCCCACATCGGCCCCAACCCTGACCGCACGAAGCTGACTCACTCTGATTCCAATGTGCTATAGTCATCCTAGAGGAGCGGAACCTCAAGATCGCAACCAAGGTGGAGGAGTGGCCACGGGCACTACGCAGAGCCAGTGTCAATTCTTTCGGCTACGGAGGCGCGAATGCCCACGTTATTCTGGAGTCCATCCAGAGTTACCTGGGCGACAATTATCGGGAACAGATCAGAAGCATTTCGGGCCCATCGGTGTCTGAGACTCCGCAGCTGCTTGTGTTGCCTGTGTCTGCGTCTTCGATCTCGTCTCTCGAAGCGCGCATGAAGGGTGTAGCCCGGGCTGTTGCACAGAATCCGGGTCAAGAAGCACTTGCAAATCTGGCATACACGCTTACCAAGGGTAGAGACCACCTACAGTATCGCAGCTTCCACATCGCCAGCGCGGATGGTAAACTGAACCCTGGAGAAGACGCAGCGACACCCGGCAGGTCAGACAAGGGGTTTCCTTTTGCCTTCGTTTTCACTGGCCAGGGCGCGCAGTATGCCGGCATGGCAAAAGAGCTTTTGCTCCAGAGTGAACATTTCCGAGCTACGATTCATGGTCTGGATCGTGTGCTCCAGCGACTACCGGTCCCGTACGCCCCGAACTGGACCATTGCGCAGACTTTGCTCAATGACGACCCCAAAACAAGCGATATCAACAAGGTTACCCACAGCCAACCTATTTGCACCGCTATCCAGATAGGAATAATCGAGTTGCTGCGCAGTTGGGGCGTGCAGCCCGCGGCCGTTGTCGGTCACTCGTCCGGAGAAATTGCTGCAGCTTACGCAGCAGGACTGCTGTCTTCCACCCAGGCCATTCTGGTAGCGTACTATCGTGGATACGCCGTCGGAAAGTTGCAGACAAAGGGATCGATGATGGCCGCTGGCATAGGAGCCGAGGCGGCTAAACAATTGATCAAAAGTCAAGGGTTGGAGACCCAGGTTCAGGTTGCCTGTGTCAATGCACCAGAGAGCGTAACCCTCAGCGGCTCATCTGAGGCAGTTGATGCCATCCATGAGGAGCTTCAGGCCCAGAAGAAGTTTGCCCGCAAGCTCGACACGGGAGGACGGGCTTATCACTCTCACATGATGAAGGAGGTCGGTCCCCTATACGAGGAGCTCCTCGCCGATTTGCTCACCCTGCCGGGTGACGATAAGCAGGAAAGTCCTGTTAGTGGTTCTGAGGTGAAGATGTATTCATCTGTCGGTCATGACCCGACAGAGCTGCGCGTGTTAGATCGCAATAGCACCAGAGCCACCAACATGGCGGCCTACTGGCGGGAAAACTTGGAGCAACCGGTTCAATTCAACTCCGCCCTGGCGACACTGGCTGCCGGAG